TCTCTCACCTTCCCTCTCCTCTTACAACCCTAGAAGAAAATCTCCTCTTCTCTCCTCTTGCCTCTCACGCCAACTCTCTCTCTCTCCCCCCCTTTCTCGTCCCTCTCTAAGCTCCCTTGAAGTCTTCTCTTTTATTTTTAGGCTGCCTCCTTTGAAAAGAATTCCAAATTCCCTCCAAAAGTTTCCTCCAAAGGTCAACTCTTTTGAATTTGAAAGATATTTCATTTGATCTAAGAGACATATCCCTTCATAAAAGAATGTTCCAAAGTGTTTAGATGTATTGAATTACTCCAATATATGTGTAGAACAAGTGTCCCTTTGAAAATTCACAAAAAATTTATCTCAAATTGTCTTAATTTGTAAAAAGTTGTCTCTGGTGCATCATTCACCAGTTCTCTGTCAAATGGTGCCTCATACGCCGATCTGGTGCATCATGCGCCAGAATCCCAAAATTCACTATTTTGACTCCAAATTTCGTCATTTTTGTCATTTTTGCTCCAAATTCCTAAAAATGATATACGTGCAACAAAAACAAGAAAATACCCAGTATCATAAAAAATAAGCATAAAATATGTACTTAAAATAATATATTATTTTGGTGTATTAGGTTGCCCTAAAGCCTGATAATCCTACGGGGACTCTCTTTGAGCTTCCTCATGTTGGCTTCCACCTTCTAAGTACTAGAGGTGAAAACCAAACATGTGAAACTCCAAAATGAGAAAAGAAGTGGTTTGAATCTCTAAAAGAATGATTCTCATCACTAGTCATCTAGGATTATCAACAAGGAAGTCGTATGGCTAGATCCTAGGCTTTTAATGAAGAGAATAATAACTCACCAAAAAAGTGGTCAACAGTAATAAATTTAAAATATTTAATAACTACTCCTAAGTAGTTCTAAGGTAGAACTTTAGGATAAAAGCCACTAATATCATAATTTTTTGTTAAAAATCTGAATCATCAAAATTTTCAAATAAATGAAAGACTTAGTGGTATTAACGCTTAAATTAGAGGCTTAATTGCAGTTTTATAAGTTTTTAGAGATGATATTAATAGAGTTAATATTGGCCTTATCAAATATCAACAAGTCATCATCAAATATAGTGTTATAGACCATAATAGTTTTAGAAGATGAATGGTTGTTACTAGGATAAGAGTCATGACCCTCCATACGACAAAAAAAATCATCCATCATGATAGCAAAAAGATAGAGGAATAGTGTACACCCTTATCTAAAACCAAAAGATGAATTAAAACAAAAAACTCTCATTTAACAATTAATAATAATAATAATAAATGAACATTAGAAAGACATTGAGTGAATGTGGAAGGAAATTCCTAACTCATTATTCTAAAGATAAATTGATGAGTTGACATTGTCAAGAGCTTTTTTTTATATCCATTTTAACACAAAAAAAAACTTTATTGGAGGACACAAAATTGAAAACATAGAGAATTTCCTTTGTTGAAATTATATTATATGTTGTTTCATGCCCCTTAATGATGGCAACTTGTGATAGATGTAAAATTGAGGGTAGAAAATGCTTGTATCAATATGTAATAAATTAAGTAATTAGTTTATAAATAGTATTGTATACCCAAATATGACTAAAATCATTAATATTTTAACATGAGAGTGCTAACAAAGAATTTTAACTGTAATATGATTTATAATAATAATATTTTTGGAAGTTTGAAAGAAGTATTTCACAGCAGCAATGCAATCAAAATTAGTAAAGCTCCAAATATCTTTAAAAAATTTAACAGCAAAATTGTCATGCCTTCGGGTCATATTAGGCCCAATAGAGAAAAATACTTGTTTAATCACAAGATCTGTAAATTCTTTAATAAGATCAAAACATTCTACATCATTAATAGTATGACTAATTGAAATATATATATATGAAGTATGATCATAGTTCAAGCATAACTATTGGGAGCTCTAAGAAATAGGATCTGACCTCTTTGTCAATATCGTCCTGAGTGAGAACTCAAGAATTACCAACATGAATTTATTTGATATATTTCTTTTTATTTCTTACTTTGATATTTTGATATTAAAACTTGATACCATCCTCTCCCTCAAAAAAGCAAGCACACTTAGCTTGTTGTTTGAGCCATTTATATTCACATTTCAAAGCAATGGAAAGTTAAGCTTTAATGGATGAGAGCTAGCTATATGATTCTTATCCAAATGATTCACCTCAAGTTGAGACATAATCATCCTCTGATAATCTTTAAGCTTAAGAATAGTATTAAAAAGATGACTAAAGGAGCACCAATTCCAATTTAAAAGTAGGTTCAACATCTTTATGTTTATTATAAAGGGCAAACAAAGAGTTGCCTTTAACATTATTCACCCAAGTGGACTCAACATTAGAGAGGCTATTAGGATTATATATTCAATAATTATTTTACATGAACCTACCAGAAAGCTTGTGAAAATTTCCAAAATGAATAGAAATAAGAGAGTGATGAGATGTTAATTGTTGCAGAACTTTAATGAATGAATAAGGATATTCAGATTGCTAGTAAACACTACAAAAAAAATATCCAACAAGCACCTTATGAGGTAGTCTTTTTGTTGGTTAAACCAACAATAAGTATGTCTTATATTAAGAAGATCAAAGAAACCTGTAGAACAAATACAATTGTTGAAATCAAGCATGGTAAATTTTAGGTGCATTTACATACATACCTCCTAACTACTATGTATTTACATATCTAATTTCTAAACATTATTTTTTGCATTTGTACCTCCCTAATATTTCATAGCACATAAAAAATATCACTATTTTGATTTATAAAATGTGAAATAAGCCTTTTCAAGCTTAAATATGGTGGCATGTCATTAAAAATTAAAGTACATGTGTTATAAACAATCCATTATGTTAATATTTAATTTATATTGCAAACAAACAATCAAAATGAATATATAATAATTCATATAGTTTAGATTGATTTTGAGCAAGGGAATGGATTTTATTTTATATATAAATTTTGAATGCAAAACTGGATTAAGAATTAATGAAAAGCATTTCGACTATCATCACCTTAAAAAAGGTTAGAACAAAATTATAAGCTGACATATCATATTAGAAAGATTGAATTTTTATGCTTGATAATGTGCATAACTGTCCATTAATTTCAATTATATTTTTATTTGGTCAAATATGCATGAAAAACATCTTTGGCTGGAAATATCCATAATATGACTATCATCATCAAACTACATCCCACCCAAAATATTGAACCGCACTAAAGATTAAACAACACTAGTCATTCAAATACCTTTAAGCATTGCCTCATATAGCATAAGTAAAATGATTTTAAAAAATAGAAGAAGTGAATTTACAGTCATTTATATAGTTATTATTTATTTTGAGCAGGGGAATTGGCATCGTATTGATTGAGATTGCATATAAAACCAAAAAAAAATATTAAAGAAATAGGTTTGAATTAGGTTTAATAAACAATCAAAAAGTTTTAAATACGATTAAAAGTTTCTGTGTGAATCTTAATTGCATCTTATTTGAATTATTGACCACTTTATTTATTTATTTTTAATTATGTTCTAACCTAGTTTATATTTTGCCAAAAGACAACTCATTAGACATGATCATAATTTGAATCTACTTTTGCCTATCGATTGATTTTGTTCAATCTTTATTTATATAAGATTCTAAACATATAAGAGTATGTTTGATCTTCATTGAAGCTTTAATTGAACTAGATTAAGAGATTGCATGTATTTATTTGTAGAGCATTTTAGTATATTGGTGAATAAAACCTCGATATTTGTGTAATGTATAAAAGAATAGAAAGAAATCAATCAATAGAAAGTGATTTTAGCAAAGATAGAACAAAAGCTTACTGGCTCTAATAAGTATTATTAGCATTGAAGCAATGTGCAAGAACTCATTCAACTTGAATAAAATTTTAAAAAATGTTAAATAAAATATGAATTAAGTTTAAGCATTTTTCAAACAAATTTGAATCTTGCATGAGGATTAATTTAAAAAAAAAATTGAACATTAGATATAAAATAAATTCAAATGAGGTTCTTAAAAAGTTTGAATGAGTTTTAAATATGGATGAAATCATATTATAAGTTTGAATCTAGTTTGAATTTGATTTCAAATCTTTATATGAACATAATTTCATATCTCATTGTTGAATTATAAGCCCAAGATAAATATTAAAATTAAGTTCATACAAGATTTAAATATTGAATTTGGGGGTTAAAACTTAAAGCCATCTAATAATGAGTTTAAATTAGAATTAATTTAAATTTGTCTTATAAAAAATGTTAAATTGTAAATCCTAAAGTTAGTGAATTAGGTCTCTTCTCAAATCCTCTCAATTTTGTCTTAAGTCCCAAATGTATTAAATCTTGATGTAGGCATGATTTAATAAATCTAAATTTAAAATATTTACTAGTCATTTCCAAACGGCCCTTTAAATATTTATCCCTTAAATTTCAATGAAAACAAAGTTTATCTTTCTTGACTCCATGGAAGCCATCAAACAACTTCACTCCCACCTCATTGTCTCAGGCCTCTACAGGCACCCGGTGCACATCTCCAAAGTTCTAGCCTTCTACGCTCTCTCCCCAGCTTTTCTTCCTCATGCCCTCCTTATCTTCAACCAAATAGAAAGCCCTAACACCTTCATATTCAACACAATGCTAAGAGCCTTCGCCCAAAGCAATACCCCAACGGAAGCCCTCCTCTTCTACCACCAATCCAGAGCTCTAGGACTCAGACATGACTTCATGACCTTCCCCTTCGTATTCAAGGCTTGCGCGAGGATTCCTGCCATGATAGAAGGTCAGTGGATTCATGCCCATGCTCTGCAACTGGGGTTCGTCTCTGATGTCTTCACTTCGAATGCACTGATTAGTTTGTACTCGTCATGCAAGGAATTGGGGTGCGCGCGACAGTTGTTTGATGAAATGCCTGTGAAGGATTTGGTATCATGGAACTCCTTGATCTGTGGGAGCGGCAAGGATCAACGATTTAGTGATGTTTTGGAGCTTTTTGAAATGATGCTTGAAGTGCGGATGAAGGCCGATGCGGTGACCATGGTGAATGTGGTATCGGCTTGCACCCAGTTGCGAGATTGGGAGTTGGGGGAGACAATGATTAAGTATATTAGGGATAATTGCATAGAGGTTGATTTGTATCTTGGAAATACTATGATAGATTATTATGGTCGACGTGGATTCGTGGAGGACGCTCAAAAGTTGTTTGATGAAATGAAGGAGAGGAATTCCATCACCATGAATGTGATGATAGCGACATTCGCAAAGGCTGGAGATTTGGTCGCTGCAAAAAAGATGTTTGATAGTATGCCTGAGAAGGATCTGGTTTCCTGGAGCTCGATGATAACCGGGTATTCTCAATCGAAAAATTTCTCTGAAGCCCTAGAACACTTCAGGCAAATGCAGAAAACTAAAATAAAGCCAGATGAATTTGTGGTTGTCAGCGTCCTCTCTGCCTGTGCGCATCAGGCTGCACATAAACTTGGGCGGTCGGTTCATGGCTACATTCGAAGGAGCAACATAAAAATGGACATTTTTGTGGGAAATTCCTTGATTGACATGTACTCCAAGAGTGGATACATCAATGAGGCATATAAGGTATTCAATGAAATGAGAAATAAGGATACTCTGACATGGAATTCAATCATATTGGGGCTCGCGAATAGTGGAAATGCGGACATTGCATTGCAGGTCTTTTCTGATATGTTGAGGGGCAATTTTAAGCCTGATGAGGTGACATTTCTTGGTGTCTTGGTTGCCTGTGTGCACAATGGGTTGGTTGATGAAGGGCTTGAGCACTTTAAGAGCATGAGTGGAGTTCATGGAGTGGAACCTCAAATGAAGCATTATGGATGTGCTATTGATCTTCTTAGCCGAGCTGGGGAATTGTATAAGGCTTTTGAGCTGATTGGAGAAATGATGAGGAGGCCTGATGCCATAGCGTGGAGGGCGTTCATGGGAGCTTGCAAGGCTCATGGAGATGTCCCAATGGCGGAGTATGCCCATAAGAAGCTCCATAAAGTAGATTCTCGTGGCAATGGGTTCAAACTAAATACTCCTTTTGAATGCATGGCTGAGAGATGAAATGGTGCGATGAAATTGAGGGATAAGATGACTGAGTTTGATGTGGAAGAATTCTGGTTGTTGCGTAATTGAATATTAGTAACACTGTGGGAAGCTCGAAGTTGGCAAATTCATGGATAAGGATAAGATTTTCAAGAACATATAGGGAATGCAGAAATTGTTGCAGCTTCCATGGATTCAGAGGCTTCCTTTCTGCAATCAGGAGATCGGTATGCTAAACGTTGACGGACTTAGATTAGCTGAAGATAACAGTTAAGTTTCTGCAGAAGTTCAGAGTTTAACAAGGTTTGAATCACACTTCAAACTGTAAATATTGTTTGGAGGGAAAACGAGGTACATGTTATATTTACGTTATGCACATCCGTGTTTAACAAAGTAAGAAATCACTTAAAGAGCTTACAGACATCTCACTAAACTTTACTGTGCAAATCTGAAAGATTTTAAATTATGGCTAATGATTTCAACAACAACTACTTTTTTTGAAAAAAAAAGATGATTTTATCAAAACTGCTTACTGTACAAAAAGAAATGTAAACACACAAAGATATAACAAAGAGATCATGTGCCATGACTCATGTCGTTCGATCAAAATCATAGCTTACATTCATAGTTTAGAAGAGAGGATCCAATCCACTACCAAGCAGTTATACAGATACATAAAAATGTACACAAAAAATAGTATTCTCTCTTATTTTCGCCAATAACCTTTAAAGAGAAGCATCAAATTTATCAAACCAAATAAATAGTAAAAATTTCCAACAACTTGTAAAGATTGCAGTAGTCAAACAAGAGAGAAAAAATAAAGGGATTTTACATATAACAAAAGATCTCATTTGAATTCTCAAAGAAGTATCTTCTCTTGCTTATTATTGTCTTGAAGATGAATCCCATTCAAGGAACTGAATTCTAGAATTTTGGAGACGAAACTTCTATAAGAGATTCATAAGATAGATAAAGAATGTTTCAACTACTAAAAAACAATGCATATCTAATGTTCGTATATGAAAGCCTCAAGTCAAGAGCAAATATGATAAATGATAAAGCGTTTACAAAAGAAATCAAGCACCACAAAGATAACACCAAAACTTCTATTGTTAAGCTTAAGTATGGTCACATTCATATGAAAACAGATAAGATTTAGTTTACTAAAATAAATCACAATCATGAGGTACCATACAAGAATAAAGAAGGGGCCTCAATTCTCTCAAGAAAATTAAAAAAATAACTTCAGAGAGATAAGAAAGAAAAAAGGTTAAGTATGATAAAATTATCAACTTCAAAAGTTACTTGAAAAGATAGCAACGGTTCATTGACATGATATTTTAGACTTGGGAAAATAATTTCTGTACTTGATTTCACTCTCTCCTATTCTTCAATTTTCTGTCTCTTCTAAATTCTTTTTTAACTTGTTCAAAAAATACTTAGGATGGCTGCATACTTCCATGCTTGATAAGCTTTAATGCATTAATTTATATAGCCATCAACTCAAAGCATTACTATATAGTTTGTGCAAAATCTCCTAAAATATTTTCAGGCTTTTATTAAATAAGTTGATATATACATCATCATTTAATTCATACATAAATATTGAAATCTAACAAGTCAAATCACCAATTTATTAGCTTTTTTTATGAACAATATTAAGTCAATACCTGGCAAATCTTTCTCTTGACTAAATGTTATAATAAATGGATTTTCTCTATAACTCTTTCTCTTCAAACCAATCTCTTAGAACCTGAAATGGCTTAACTCTGCATAATCACATTAAACTTCAAAGTCACTTAAGCCGAACACTTGCAATAGAATTGTGTGGCATAAATGCTATACTCTCAAGTGATACCACTGAATTTGAACCTGCGCCTATCAATTAATTTTCTTACCCTTAAACTAATATCTCCTTTCCTAGGATTTTGTAATGGAAGAATCCAATATCGGATGAATTGCACAACATACGACAAACTTTTGTGATCATTTTTAAGAGCACCTCTTATAATGAATGCTTCTAGGAGATTATTGGAGTACACACGCAGAGCTGCGTGCGTATTCTGTATGGAAATATTTCTCTAAAAGAGTTCCTCTTGTAAAAGGGTTTCTATAAATAAATAGCAAGCTCTTTATGTGTCCCACCATTTATTCATGCTAGGAATATGAGAAGAAATAATATATATATATATATATATATTAGCAAAAGATAAATCTCTATTAAGATCAAAAAGGGATTACAATCCTAAGGTGTGGGGCATTAAAGTTGTCCCCCTGAAGCGAAGAAAGAGGTGAGGTAGATACAATCACCCTTTGAGACTCAGCTCCACTTTTGGCTAGAAAATTTGCATCTCTATTCCCTTCCCTGTAGTTGAAATTCAACAAGACCTTCATCTCCTTCATTATGTTTTTCATCATTTTGATCCACTGCATTTATGTGCCAAGGGGGGTTGTTTCTTCTTCTCATGTAGTCCAAGAGTTGAGTAGAGTCTACTTCCACCTGTAAGAATGTCCACTTATTGAGGCTGGCAAGCTTAAGAGCCCAGTACATGGCCACTGTTTCAGCCTCCATCGCATCCTCAGCAACGATTGGGGATTGAAATAAAAGCAAGCATTGTCCCTGGTGATCTTTGAACACACCACTAATACCAGTTATCTATGATGAAAAGCTCCCATCAGTGTTGTCTTTGACATAAGGGTGTGTAGGCTTTTTCCAAAACACCATTACCACTTGGAAATTTGTATGGCCAGCTGTTTTGCTTATATTCATAATATTGGGGAAGGTTTTCAATTGAATGAGTTTTCTTATGAAAGCTAACCTATTGGAGACCACCTTCCCAGTAGTTACTTGTTGGTCATCATGTTTAACATGGTTTCTAGCAGCCCAGATAAACCAGGCAATGATAAAGGGGTTAGGTCCCATCTTCAAATCATGCCAACCCCTCCAGCAGGTTAATAGGTTGTTTTACTCCAGATAGATTGTACTTATGTGTAATTGTGTTATCAGGGACTTCGAGACTTTCTGGGAAAAATGGCAGGTAAAGAAAAGGTGGCCAACTGACTCCACATAACGTATAAATTAAAAGTTTATATAAAATTGAAAATAATGTTGTGCAATCCTGAAGGCAAACAGTGAAGGTATTCATTCATGCACAAACAACACATGGAAGGGCCTCTCAGACCATTTAGTTTAAGGATGTTATATGTTGTTAGCAAACGGTTGAAAAATCTACAACATAAGAAGGACATGGAAGGTGTTAGGAACTTGTTCCACAAGCATTCTCCCTAGGGCTCCTCATCCCATTGATACAGCTTTCCATAAATAGTTTTGGTCAGGCTTTGATTGGAGCAAGCAGATAAAACTATTTTGTCTTTTCTACTCCTGTCAAAAGGTATCTTGGTGATTTTTGTGACTGAGTTCTCGTTGAGGAAGGTCTTAAGCATTTCAGTTGACCAGGAGTTCTCCTCCCGACAGTCCTTGACCATTAGATCAATATTAGGAGTCTCGTTTAAAGGATCTAGTAAGGCAATCAAAGCACTCGTACAAATCTAAGCATTGGAATCACCAAAGAATCCATATCATACAATTTGAGAACACCTAAGATTTTTAGTCTTCCTTATCTATGGTACATGCTTAACTCTAGCTAATAAAATAATCACAATGTCATGTTCAGTTGTCTTTATAGATTTGAACCTCTAATTTTGATATAACTTGTTTACTGTGTGTAAACGAAAACCACTAGGACTTGGCTCATTAGTGAAAAAAAAAAAATCTAAAATAGAACATATTTTTCCTAAAGAAGTTGAGTATATAATCATCTTCTCTTCGAACCTATGTTCATTACTCACCAAAAGGTTATCGAAAATATCAAGACCAATCTGCAGAGACCCTTGCATCTTCTAATTTCACTTCTTTGTGATTATCATTTGCAACAATTGCTCTTCTCTTCAAAGCGTGACAATCCCTCTTTGCACTTGTTTTTCTTACAATAAAATCAAATATCATCCATGGAGTTGTTATGAAATTTACCTTTGCTAGATTAGCGAGATGGGACCTATGCTTATAAGATTTTCTCTTGACATGCAATAAGCTTTTAGATGGCTTATCATATCCCTCAAGCAAATGAATCAACTTCTTTGAAAGAAGTAGTTATTGACATTCTCTAAACTTAGTATAAGACTTCCATATAGAATGGCATCCAAAAAGTGCTTGTAAATAGGTAATGAGCACAATAAGAGTAAAACTTGTTCCGTCAGTAATAATAGATATTCCCCAAATCTCAAATGATAGAATAAAACTCATTTAGATATGATTTAATTCTTGTGTCATCTTGCATAAGAAGTTTATGAAGTCTTAATTTTAGAAAAAAGTTTGTTGAAGATATTTTAGTCAAGTACATAGACTTCAATTTGAGTAAAAAATTTTTGCAACTATATTCTCAAAGGTCAAGGCCTCTGTAAAGATCTCGTTTGTCAAACATAATTAAATAATTGTGAACGACTTCACATCATCTTCATCTTATGTTCTTCACTTACTATTTTAAGCATCTTTGTATGCTACATGCGAGCAATTGCCTAGTCCTTATTCGATCAAAACCCACTCTTGGTTCTTTAAATCCCAAAAGCTCTTTTGAGCTATCAAACTTTTGAATCTTGAACTTTGTTATCGTTATATTCCTCTAAACCATCAAACTGATAAATAGTGTTCGAAAAAAAGTACACTTAAGTTTATGTTATAAAGTGTCAATTTAGAAGCAAGTACAATGAAATACAAAGTAACTATAAAAGATATTAAATACTTGCCTATATTCTCAAAGTATGGAAGATGATTCAATCCACTAATGACAAAGCCATAATTATAGTGTACCGATAAAAGGGCACTCACAATCTTTTCCGCAAAACTCAAGTCCAAACTTGTTCAGTCAAGAAAATTTTGAAGCCCAAGTCTCTAAAAATATATACGAGAGAATAATATAGGATTAAATTACAAGTCTTCTTTATTTTTTTTATTTTTTATTTGTATTTTTTTATTTTTTATTCTTTTTTAACTAAAAAAAATTACAAAGCGCAATGGAAAACACAGGTTTATTTTTACTTTAAAATGTAAAACATGGAGCGACACTTTTATAAATTAAAATACCAATTGGTTTTATAATATTATTAATGCTAAACACATCATTAATATTACATAACGTATAAATTGAAAGTTGATGTAAAATTGAAAAGAATGTTGTGCAATCCTGAAGGCAAACAGTGAAGGT